TTTTTAACAGTACTGTGTCATGTATCTCTTACAGTTATTTACATTTATTGCTATACATTTTTATTTCTCTGTTCTAACCAATGTATAGCAATAAATGTAAATAACTGTAAGACGTATCCCATACCTATCCCATACCTCATAAAATTCTGTTTCTTCCTTGCCTTTCATTTCCAGTGTAAGCTTATACATCTCGGCACATTCTAATATCTCATAGATAATCATATCATTAACTGGTATATTTTCAAGTTTCCAGCATTGAGCATAGACAATACGTGCTGCTGTTACTATGTGTACATAGTTAAGATAAGATGTATAGGATAAGATGTAAAGTTTGTCTGCTATGATTTATTCAACAGATCACTATTAAACAAACTTTAGCGTAGAAAAATATATTAAACTCATAATAAAGTCCCCAAAATTGACTTAGTATATCTTGAAATTAACTCACGAGAAATTCTAAAATTCAGGGTGATTATTCTTTAAATTACTATTAAATTAATACATTTATTTATTTATTTTACAAAAATACACATTAGTGTAACAGGAAGAAACTCTGGTTCAATCTATGAACCACTTCAAAATTGACATTGTCTCAGCAATGAATGTTAAATGACACTTTTTCCGGATCTGTAATTATACTTCTCTTTCCAAAATCTAGATGGTTATAATGGCAGGACACAATGCTTACATTCATCTAGCAGTAACAACTAAGTAATTATGCCTGAGGTTATTAAGTGTCTCTCCCTTTCCAGTACACCAATTATTCTAATTCACGAGGGAGGAAGAATTGAAGCAAAAAAAAAAATGAATACAAAGATGGATCATAATAGTTAGAAACAGGTCCCAATCCCTTGTCCAGTATGTCAAACTGCTCACTGACCTTTTCTAGAAGGTACAACAACAGGCACAATCTCTTTATCAAAATATCCAGCCTTCTGTGCATTTTCAGCCTTATTCTGAGACATTACAGCCTGCTGGTCTTGTTCTTCTCGACTGACCTTCCATCGTTTGGCCAGATTTTCAGCTGAAACAATTAAAAAATACAGTAGATACTCCAATCACAATGTGTCACCATGCATTTACATTTATTACACTGAATCTTCAAATAGTAATGATAGAGAATGCACTGTTTCCAGCACGTAATGTTCACACATTCATACCAATTTTGAATTTGGTTTTGTTGGAAATTTATTTACACTTAAGACATGAGTGCACAACACTACAGGCAAAGAAATGCAATTCTGAAGTCCGGTGAGGTTGATCCTACTTGATTAGCTGATTAGTACAGAAGAAGCTATTGAAAATCAACTGAGCAAGAGGTGCAAATGGCTGCAAAGTGATAGAAGGCCTTTGAAGATTATTTTCTAACGATATATATATTAATTAAATATAATTAAAACTATACAATATATGCAAATAAATTTATTATATCATAAACTGTAGTTATTTATTATTTTATTATTTATATCACAGCTCTTGGCAAGAGCTCAAGATATTGTCCACAGCACTCCTTCCTCCTATTTTGGTAGGTTGGACAGAGAGAGAGTGACTGGCCTGAAGTCCAGTGAATCCTCCCGGCAGAGAATAGATTAGAATCTATTGAATCTACTGCAACATCCTAACTACTGTGCCAATATGGCTTTCAGTGTGCATCGATGACCTGGGAGAAACGCTTTGCCTGGGGAATGTGGCCCTAAATAGGGCTTCTTTCTCTTTAATTTTTTCCCCCTAGAACATACATGCCTGGACATATATAGGTATTTCCATGCTTTTACAGTCTGGGGGTACAGGGATTCATAGCAATTACACCTGGCAACCCTACATCGAAGCTGGATATTGCCCAGTATTTTTCCTCTCATCCTTGTAATTTTTGCTTTCTGTCCACTCTTTTTTTGGTGAAATAAAGTTGGGACACGCTTCCATCCAACCTTTTTGAAAATGCTGTTTCCACGTGGCTTACCTGTAACACCCATGTGATAACAGTAGAAAGCATCTGTCAAGCCATCTACGATAAGACTGTCTTGCAAAGAGGTTTCTCCCATCTTCACCCCACCACGCAGATGAATGACATGAGGAGCCTGAAAAAAGCATTTTGACCCATTTAGAACATTGAAAGCAACTTTCTCTCTGGAGCGCCCATTCTCACTGTATGACTCTTCTGTTCATTTGCCATTAGCAAATCTAATATAGAGAAGCAATCCCAACTCAGTTATAGAGCACTTGCTTTGTTCGCATGCTTTGATCCCTGATTTTACCCAGTAGAAGAATCACATAATTTGTATGAAGGCAAAAGAGTGTAAGAAAAAAGAAGCTTCCATATTGCTTTCTCCTGGATTCGAGCTGAGAGGAAGGTGAAGGCTTGAAATGAGCTAAAGAATAGTTCACTTTAAGACTAGCGGCATATCCAGCTGAAAGAAGTATACACACCCACTATATGCACAATAATCTTCCTGCTATTTTTTATCAGAAGCAACAGTGAGACAAAAGGATCAGAAGAACAGTTTGGCCTCTGCCATGGAAGTTTCAGAAGTCATTGACTCATTCAAAGATGAAATGTCAGGCCACAGTCCAAATGCCATCAGCATGAAGGGATGCCGAACAGCGAAATCTCTTATTTGCTGATTGTGCTTATGTATCTGTCTGTCGTGTATGTGTATGTTTGTGTATGCACGCAATGATTTTTATATATCCTGCGTGAGCTGCACTGGCTGCCTATGGCCTTCCGGGTGCGCTTCAAGGTGTTAGTAACAACCTTTAAAGCACTCCATGGCAATGGACCTAGGTATTTGCAAGACCGCCTCCTACCACATACCTCCCTTCGACCAGTCCGCTCCCACAGAGAGGGCCTCCTTAGGGTGCCATCGGCCAGTCAATGCCGGCTGGCGACCCCCAGGGGGAGAGCCTTCTCTGTGGCAGCTCCTGCCCTCTGGAATGACCTACCCCCCCCGACCTACGTACAACTGCGGACCTGCGCCTTTTTCGCCGAGCCCTGAAAACTCATCTATTTCATGCGGCCGGCCTGGCATAGTCTTAATTAGGTTTTAGTATAGGTTTTTATATGGGGTATTTTAGAGCAGGCCTTTATTTATTTAATTTGATTTTAGAATAGATATTTATTGTGATTTTTATTATTGCCTGTTCACCGCCCTGAGTCCCGTAAGGGAGATAGGGCGGTATACAAATCTAAATAAACATAAACAAACATAAACATATATAAAACTAACCCTAAGCCTATATACACTCACACACACATGTACATTAAATAGACGCTGTTCAGCTATCTTTCTCTCTGGCCAAAGTACTTTCCCTACTTCTTTTACTCATATACTCTATAAAGTCAAAGGACAGAGTGGATACGTTCAATTCATGATAAACCATGGTTGGAATAACTCAGGTTATTTTAAAACAATAAGACCACAGCAAACAGGCTACATCTTAGTTATCCAGTGTCATTCAAACCACAGTTGCACAATATCTGTCTCCCCAAAAAAATAACTACTTGGGTCTATTATTTCAATTTAGTTTCTCTCCAAGGTTTAGCAATAACCTGTTTTCCTGTAAAATTATTTTATTCCTGCCCTACTGGTTTTTATGGACCAGTTTTTATGCTATTCTGGCATGAATAGCAGCTAATCCAAAGCCCTAAATTATTACTTCCTTTGGCTGGAGCATGAAGTGCTAAGCAATTTATTTAGTGCAAAGTGCTAATCCTTCTGAAGAAATAACATGGTTGTGGTTTTTTTTTTTTTAAATTGCACCATGCTTTATAAACTTTTTAAACTTCAAGAAGCTTTATAAACCCGCAAAAATATGTCATTACATTTTAATCCAAAAATATCCCGGTTTATTCCAGATTTGGTTTTGTACCTTGCATGAATCAGGAAGTAACCTAGCAAAGCGGGATTACTCCATCTCCAGTGTTGTATTCATAGCAATTACGTGAGCCACTCAATTCCATCACTCAAAAGTTTAGATATTGGTGGTGCTCATATAGGATTTGTTTTTGGCATTGAGCCATGCCCTGTTTAGCAAATTGTGGCTTAATAACTGTGGCTTAACCTTGTGCGCCAATAAGTGTCTCAAATCAGTGAGGGGCTGGACATGGCCCAATTCTGTTAAGCCTCAGTCCAGCAAAGCCCAACCTCTTATTGGTTGGGAATGTAGCTGGCGAGATAGAAGTCCCCCTTGATAAACGCCTGATGTACAGCGTGTGTACTGTTTAATACAGTAATTCACCCATGGAAATCATTCTTCCGTGCCTTTTCAGCATAAGCTTCATAGAAGCAGCAAGCCTTAACCTCTATGAACATCAGGCAGCCTTACCTTGCTCATGTTTTCCATTCCACCAGCCACCACAATACTGGAATCTCCTGTCATAATAGCCTGAGCCCCGAGACATACGGCTTTCAGGCCTGATCCGCAGATCATTTGACAGCTCCAAGCTGGGATCTCATATGGAATCCCTGCCCCGACACTGGCTTGTCGAGCAGGATTCTGGCCAGCCCCTGCAGACATAAACACACGGGGACAACTAGACTAAATTGTTTTAGCTCATTCTCCTACCTAACTTCTTAGTGACAGACAGGTGCCCATGTTATTTGCCTGTAACATTACTCATAATCACTTTGGGTTTTAAATTAATAACCCGACTCTTGTTTCTAGGCACTGCTTTGTAAAAATGAATGTTTGACTCTTCGTTCAATGCCCATGTCTTATTTTTTCAAGTTACTTTTATTCTCAATTTTCTTAGGCTGACCTTCATTGTCTTTGGGCTATATTTCAACACTGTTGTGGACAGGTGAAGGTAGTATATTGTTTTGTTTTTTGCTTTTAACCTTCAGTGTAATGTGAAGTTTATTTCCAGGGCTGTCTGCATCCATAGGAACGTGCCCAAGTTTTATGATCAAAATCAGCCAAACAGTTTCTGTTTCTGAGGACTGGATCAGCTGGATCTCTTCACTCTTAGCACAGCACCTTAATCACTACACCATACTGACTCTCATAGAGAAGCACATATGCAGGTCAAGAAACTGGAGACGGCTGAAGAGGAAAAGACTAATGGGATCCAAAGCAGTAAAAGTAGGGGCAAGAATACAGGCAGATAGAACAGACTGACACATTGCTGATTTAACACACCCAGAATTGTGGGAGACAAAAGCACCATGATTTCTTCATCACATTCCCATCCTTGTTTGCCACCACCCACTCTTCCCTCTGTTTTATGTATGCATACTTGAAAAACCTTCTGTTGGAAGAAGTAATGGGAACTGCAGAAGAAGAATAAATGCAAGAATATGAAGGAAATGTCAAAATCCTGGATAAATGCTTCATCAAGTTCATACCTGCAGGCAATACTTGTCCAAGTATAACTTCAGATAATTCTTTAGGATCAATTTTTGTCCTCTGCAACAATTCTTTAATGACTACTGAAGCCAATTCATGGGCGTGCAGGGTTGACAAGGCACCATTGAAGGATCCTAGATAAAAGATAAAAATCAGAAACAGATGTGTTTTAATTTTACTCTATTCCATCTTCTTTTAAGCATTCTAGCTTACAGATTACAATTCTAGGAAAATAAACAAATATTGTATTTTTATGGATATACTCTAAGTTATATCTATATTGTTTATTAAAAGTCTTGACATTTTATTTTATTATCTGGTCTAATGTACTGAAGACCTGATTCTTCAAATATGGTAGCATTTTCTTGGTCTGTCAGATTTATGTATAGTTATGTGTAATGTATACCTTTTTCATATATACATAAGTCAGTTCTATGCTGTTATTATCCCAAAAATTAAACAGAACCACTAGATTCATTTATGAATCAGATATCATCCTACAGTACAAGGCTTTAATAGGGAGAACACTATTCCAGTTGTCATACCTAGTAAACTTCAATCAGTGCATTTTGTGTATCTATTTCTTACATCCTTATGCTAAATAGAACTCAAACTATTTGAACGAATAAATTTTATTTACAGCTCTTTCAATTAGAAAAACTTGGGCAGTCTAATTTTTAATTATACGCACAAGAGTCTCTGTTGCTTTGTTAAATATATACTCAAGAGTTATTCATATCTCTAACCATGATGTCTTACATACTTGTTTAAGAACCTGATTTAAGAAGTTTTTTAATTGTTATCATACAAAACTCTAGGAAAGGTCTTATGAAATATAAAAAGCCCAACAGAATTGGCCAACTGCACTCCTGCCATCAGAAGGGGCAGGCAGCAGACCCGGTCAGCCAAGGAATTCTGTCTGGCGGGGTCCAGGAAAAGAGTCTTTTCTGCTGTGACTTCCACCCTTTGAATTGCAGACAAATAAGGCAGCCAAGAAACAAAGGTGCGAAGCCAGCTCGAGCTTTGTGGAGGACAGATTGAAGGAATGTCAGTGTAGCGTTGAGGGGGTAAGAAAATAGGTTAGAAGAACGATTTAGCCTGCTGTTTTGCATACAGTAGCTAAATTTCAATCTTGTTAAACTCAGTCGGATTCCCAGACATACCGTTAGACAGCGGTGTCCGTTTCCAATCTGTTATCCGAATAGTTCTTAACAGTTAAGTAAGCAGGTAACAAAGCCCTACATACATCCTCGCCCTCGCAGTTCTAGAGTTCTCTAGCCCTCTCGCAGGACATCCCTAGTACAATTCCTACCACAATCCCACCTCGATTCATTTTCTTATCTTTCTGCCATGAGCAGGAAAAAAGTACAGGATTTCCTCCCCTAACAGGCAGCATAGAAGGAAAAAAATGGGAGAAGGCAAATTTCCCGCAGGCATCAGAATGAATGGACCACGCAAGGTTGGGAGCAAGCGTAACGCCAGTCCGTGAAAACGCCCGTTTGAGAGCAATACGAGATCGAGGCATGAAATAGCTCCGGTAGTAGTTTCTACTCACCGACCGGGGTCCTTGCAGCAGCAACGAAAACAACGGCCTCGTCCTCGCAATCCATGATGCCTCAAAGTAGTAGAAGCCCCGCCGCTCCTTTCTCTGAGCAAACTGCCCAGCGCCTCCGTTATACTCAGGTAGCGATGCACACCTAAAATATCTCATTGGTTACCCTGGGCCCCGCCCATCTCTCACTTTGACTAGAATGGCTAGAGTAGACCGAAAAGGTGGTCGTCGTCACGTGATAGAAACACCTCGCCAACAAGGCTTTTATATTCGCAGAGAAATTCAAAGTTTTGTACTGTAGTTTTAACATATCAGAAATGGAAAATTGCTCTACAGCAGGGGTAGGCAACCTTGGCTCTTTTATGACTCGTGGACTTCAACTCCCAGAATTCCTGAGCCAGCTGTGCTGGCTCAGGAATTCTGGGAGTTGAAGTCCACGAGTCATAAAAGAGCCAAGGTTGCCTACCCCCTACCCCTGCTCTACAGGCAACAATCACAGTTCAGTCCCTTAGTGAAATTTTGGAGCATTTACTCTTGTGTCTATAAACTTGAACTGGGCAAAATGGTGCATCAGAGGGTAAAACATTTTTAATCTAGTTATCCCAAAGATGCTTTTTCATGAGGCAACTGGACTTTCTTGTTTTTTTCTTTGAAGACGTTTCACTTCTCAGCCAAGAAGCTTCTTCAGCTCTTTTTAATCAAGGTACTACAAATGAGATAATGTACAGAATGCGTGCAAAATCCAGGACTTACGACTCCTGTGGTACAGAAGTTTGGCAAATGTTATAAAAATTTCATGCGATAAAAATTATAAAGCATTTTATGGCAACACAAAATGGCCTAAAACATTTCTTGTGAGCAGCTCCTATTGTTTGACTGTGCTATACAGTTCAATGTGGGCTACTCTCTTACAAGGCAGATACATCTCTGAGTATCTCCCTGAATTTTTAAGAACTTATCAAGTATATTACAGTAGAAGCTCTGCCACTGTTGGAGGCATTGAGGAATCCGATAAGGAAATAACTCTGACACGATAAGCCAAAGGGTCACTGGTTGTCCAGAGAATACAGTAATAAAGAGCAGTCAGCTAGATAAATTGCATGGTTTATTAAATGGTAAGGAGAACAATATAAAATCTGTCTTAAAATAAATCATATCACAAATCACATAAATCGCAGCACTCAATGAAGTCATTATCAATCACTTCCAATCAATTACCAGTGAAATTCTTGAGTTAAAAATTATTTTAGGTTTTGTGGTTGCCACAAATTATATATCCTGGGATTACTCTTGAATTCAATAGTTCTCTTAGTGCTTCAGACTTTTCACAATTCAAAGGATCTGCGAACGTAGCTAATTCTCTATTTAAGGCCACTTTAAGGTTTTTACAGGTAATCCTTGGCTTCTGACCACAACTGAGCCCAAAATTTCCATTGCTAAGCAAGGTAATAATCAACTGGAGTTTTCTTTTCTTCAAGGTGGTCAGTGATATTGGTAATGCATCAAAATAACAGCAACTAAGACATGTTTGTGCACTAATCATAATTACAGTACTTATACTTCAAAGCTGTACTAGCCATGACAACAGACCACACGTGGCTGTAGTGCACCAACAATCTTTATTGTTGGTTGGCATTGCAGTGACCTCTGTGTTCATTGGCCACCTAGCACTGACATGTTCCGGCTTGTTGTTCCACTTTTATTTTAATATTTTAAAAAATGAGGTCACTGCCCTGAGCTCTCATTACCCAAAGAAACATCTGCAAGAAAATAAGCAAGCTCAGAGCACTAAAGATCTCACAGTTTAACCCTGAGCTACAAACATTGTCTTCTGTTGGTACTAGCATTCCTGTTTCACCCTCAAATGCAAACAGCAAAAATACACAGACAAAAAAAAGAAAAACAACAAAGATGCCGCAACTGAAGCAGACTCGTTTTCAGCTGCTTCTGCTTCCCATGATTGGATCTGGGAGACAAAAAGGAAAATTTTCTTTTCTCCCTAGTTCTGATGTATGCAATGCAATAAGTGAGATGATTACAAAGCTACAACCATAAAAATAAATGATACGGCTGTCTCCATATCAATCTAAGCCCAACTATACCAACACTTATCAGGCAAACCATTATCTATATTTCACAAGAAAGTTCTTACTCTTAGGTATTTAAATTATAATAGATTCTGGTTACCATAAGATGAACATGTTAAAACTATTATATAGTAGCTCAAATTATTTCTCCTCTGTGTACTTCAGTTTGCTGACAAAACAGGCGTTAAATAAGGAATATCTTATTTAAATAAGGAATATCTTTCAACTTAAAGTCTCAATTTGCAGTATATAACATTATTGGTTGTACAGAATTTTTTTAAAGGGAGAAATTTATGTTCTAAAGCAGGGGTGTCAAACTCAATTTCATTGAGGGCCGCATCAGCATTGCGGTTGCCCTCAGGGGGCCGGGTGGGTGTGGCCAGGGTGGGTGCGGCCTACTGGGTGGGCATGGTCAGATCTACATCGTTCGCGTCAAGGGTGCCTGTGGTGGCCTGGGCAGGAGTGGGACAGATCTGAGGGTCTCTGGCAGAAGGGGGTGGGACCAGGGCAAGTGCCAAGGCATGGTCCACTGGAGGAGCCTCACTGTTCCTCCCAGGCCATGCAGGGGGGGCTGGATGGTGGTGCGGGCTGCCCGGAGCCCTGGGCAGCAGAGGTCAAATGCCCAGCCTGGCCCTCGAGCACCCAAGGCACCAAGCCCAGCCCCACTTCCCCAAGGGGGCGCCCAGCTGCACTTACCTCCTCCTCAAGGCTGCTGCTGCGGTGCTTGCTCTCCTTAGCCAGGTTGCTCATGATGGGTACAAGGGCAAAGTCAGAGGGAGGCCCATTCCCTCTCCATGGGAGGAGACCCGGCTTTGTATCCAAAGCTTCCTTAGCAATAGGATGGGAGACCCCCAGGATAGGCCAGGAGGAGGGGGCAAGGGGATGGTGAAAGGGCAGCAGGCAGGACTAAGGTAGGCTTCCCTCAGACCCTCCCTCTCCTTCTTTCCTTCCTTCTTTCCTAAATACAGAATGGTGGGAAAATATTGAGATGAGGGAGGGAGAAAAACGGGCAAGAAACACATCTGGGGAGGTGTCACCTCCCCAGCATACACCCAGGGGGTGGGGCTGACGTGGCAGGGGCTGGTTCCTCGCTGTTTCCAGATGGCTTGTGCAGCTAAGACTGAATGCGTTTCAGCATAGATGGCCACCACAAAATTGTACATTGGCTCCTAGCCAGCCTGGGCCAGGGCCAAGGCAGCGGGGGCCGTTCTCTTACTGTTTCCAGCATGGCTTCGCAGGCCACATGAAACCACTTTGCAGGCCGCATCCGGCCCCCGGGCCTTGTGTTTGACATGTCTGTTCTAAAGTATAAAGATGTCATGACATGTCACTGCTAGAAACAATTGCCATACACCAAATAAGGGATGAATTCCAGGTCATGTCATCAAACATACAGTTTAGAAAGGATAGTAAATCACCAAGTGCCAGCAAAATGTT